CCCCCCCCCCCCCCCCCCCCCCGACAGCACTCTTCCACGGCAGGGCTTCCTCTCCTCCCCACGCTGCTGTTCCCTCTGCACTTCCTGCTGGTTCCTGGAATAGCAGAAAAGCTGGGCCCAAAGGTCAGGCCCTGGGGTGGGGAAGTGGTGCTTGTCAACCAGTTTATGGCCCTGGGCGGGAAGTGTGAGCCCCAGTTCTGGCCCTGAAAGTCTTCCCTTCTGTGGCCCCAGCCCCGGGGGTGCCCTGAGCAGCTGCCTTTAGGGAGCCTCCCAGCCCATGGCTGGTCTGGCTCGCTGGGCCTGGGCACCAGTGAGGTCTTGGCGCTGGCTCCATCCTCCCGAGTTCTGGCACCCTATCTGGGTTCATCGGAGACCCATTACTGCTCTTTCCTTCTCCTCCTCTCCTTTTTCTAGTTCTTTCCTTCCTAACCCTCCTCTCCTTTTCTGAGAAGAGTCTTGCCTTGTAGCCCAGGCTGGCCTTGAACTTGAGATTGTGTGGGGAGGGATTATAGTGCTATAGATATATGCCTCACCTTTGTCATTATCTTCATTATTTTTGTCTTTTTCTCTCCTTCCTCTTCCTTTCCCTCCCTCTCCCTCTTTCCTCTCTTTTAACTTTTTGGCAGTACTGGGGTTTGAACTTGGGACCCCACTTGCTAGGCTGGCGCTCTACCACTTGAGTAATGCGTTCAGCCCTGCTTTTTGCTCTGATTAATTTCTGCCCAGTTACCTGGAACTGTTAGGCTCTAATTTCAGCCTCTTGAGTGGCTGAGATTACTGGTGTGAACCACCATGTGCTTTCTTGGTTTTTGTTTAGTTTTGTTTTTTGGTATTGGTTCTGAGGCTTGAACCTAAGGGCCTGAGTGCTGTCCTGGACTTACTTTACTCAAGGCTAGTTCTCTACCATATGAGCCACAGCTCTATGCCTTTTTTTTTTTTTTTTGGTCATGGGGCTTGAATCCTGGGTCTGGGTGCTGTTTCTGAGCTCTTCAGCTCAAGGCTAGCACTGTACTACTTGAGCTATAGCGCCACTTCTGGTTTTCTGGTGGTTAATTGGAAATAAGAGTCTCAGGGACTTTCCTGCCTGGGCTGGCTTTGAACTGTGAGCTTCAGATCTCAGCCTCCTGAGTAACTAGAATTACAGATGTGAGCCACCTGTGCCCATCTACTTAGGACTTTTCTTAGTGGTTAATGGAGGTAAGAGTCTCATGGACTTCCTTGCCTAGCCTGGCTTTGAACCATGATCCTCATAGCTCAGCTTCTGAGTGGCTAGGATGACAGGCGTGCGCCCACGGGCCCCTGGCTTTCCAAGGCCCTCATGAATGGCCTCATAGCCAGAGGCCCCTTGACCAAACGGAGTGGGATGTGAGGTAGGCAGGTGGCTTTGCGGCGGCCCTCTGTAGGGGCATTACAGGAACAAGTGGCAGGGCCTCGTCACCGCTTACCCAAGATGTTCTTGGAAATGCTCCTGCTCTGCGTGAGAGTTAGGAAATGGTCTTCTATTTTCGGCACTTGGTGTACATTACATACTGTTGCCTTGCCCGTGATGGTCATGTGCGCCCCCCCCCCCCACCAGGCCTTTGAGAGGAAAGCTATGGGGAGGCCGGCTGAGGGCAGGCACCACTGAGGGCAGGCATGGCTGGCGGGCCTGCAAATGTACACAGACACTGGGCTGGGTGGGGTTCTCTGGGGAGGGCATTCCTGGTGCCGGGGCGGGGCCGTGCCCCAGGGCACACTAGCTCTAAAGAAGAACTTGTTTAGCTGGGGCCAGGCAGTGAAGCTGGCCCTGGGTCTGGGGAGGGCCTGAGATGGGATGTCGCCATCTCAAGTGGCACTTAGATCCCATGACCTTCATTGTAGACATGCCTCCATGTCCACTCGGCTCTGGAAGCTTCCACTGCCCCATGGGGCTCCTACCGAGCCCTGCATTTCCTTGACTGTAACACACACTAGCTGTTTCCTGACAGAGCAGCAGCCTTCGTGTTGCTGGGGGCTGGCGTTCATTGGACCTGGGGTGCTGTCCTCCACTGGCTGCAGTGGGCATTGCCTGGCCCAGCCTGTAGGTCTCTGACCCCCGTGGCTGAAGCTGGCAGAGGGGTCCCTTCCTGTGCACCTTGGATCTCCTTGATTGGGTGTTGAACAACCTGAAATGGACAGTAGGGACGGGGAGGCAGGAGGGGAGGCCTCTGCCCTTCAGGAAGCCGGTTCCCACAAGTGTCACCAACTGTCACCGCTGCGCGATGCCCCCAAGTCTGCTGGCTGTCACAGGGCCCCCTGCTCCTTCCCCAGTGCTCCGGAGGGACAGCCAGGGTGGCCGCAAGCGGCACCGGCAGCATTGTGGGCAGTTAAGAATGGGGATTAGAGGTCCTGCCCTCGGGGAGGACCTGGGGACCCGGTGACTTGGGTGTGAGTGGCAGGGGCTTGTGTCCATTGAGCCGCCTCCCCATTCTGCGTAGGTCACAAGGCTGCAGCATGAGTGTAGAATATGTGAAGAGGTCCAGATTACATGGGTGGGCAGTGTGTGTGTGTGTGTGTGTGTGTGTGTGTGTGTGTGTATGTGTGTGTATATGTGCATGTGTCTGTAGTGTGTCTGTGTGCCTGTTGGGAGCAGGCCAGGCCCTAGCTTGCGTGCTGCATGCATGGCCGCTGTGTGTGTGTGTGTGTGTGTGTGTGCGCGCGTGCATGTGTGTATAGTGTGTCTGTGTGCCTGTTGGGAGCAGGCCAGGCCCTAGCTTGCATGCTGCATGCATGGCCGCTGTGTGTGTACATGTGTGTGTGCATGTGTGTGTGTGTGTCTGTGTCTGTATGTCTGTGTCTGTTGGGGCAGGGGGGGCAGGCCAGGCCCTGGCCTGTGTGTTGCATGTATGGCCACTGTGTGTGCATGCATGTGTCTGTGTGTGTCTGTGTCTGTGCCTGTGTCGGGGCAGGGAGGCAGGCCAGGTCCTGGCTTGCGTGCTGCGTGCATGGCCGCTGTGTGTGTACATGTATGTGTCTGTGTGTGTCAGGCAGGGGGCAGGCCAGGCCCTGGCTTGCGTGCTGCGTGCATGGCCGCTCTGTTGTGTGTGTATGCGTGTGTCTGTCAGGCAGGGGGCAGGCCAGGCCCTGGCTTACGTGCTGCGTGCATGGCCGCTCTGTGTGTGTGCATGCGTGTGTCTGTCAGGCAGGGGGCAGGCCAGGCCCTGGCTTGCGGGCTGCATGCATGGCCACCTCAGGTGTGGTGAGTTCAGCCCACTGCTTTCCTCCTAGGTTGGACAGTGTGTGCCGAGGACATCCGTGGATGCCGTGCTCACTTCCTGTCTGCACATTTCCTTTTCCCTGCAGGCCTCTGGCTGTACCTGGCAGGGAGCAGCCTGCCCTGCCTCACGCTGATTGGCTCTCCTAATTTTGGGTACAGGTCAGTTCACCGGGACCTAGAGGCCCAGATTGCTATTGTGACCGAGAGCCGTGCCCTGCAGCAGCAGCTCCACCAGGTTGGTTGAGGGCTCGGAGTCCTGGGGTGGGGGTTGCCGCCTGGGGCATGGGTTCCTGCGGGCCTCGGGGCAGCTGAGTCTTGCCCGAGTCACTGGACTGCTCTGATCAGTGGCTCCTGCTGCCGTCCTCAGTGAGCTAGACGTGGCAGACAGGAGAGGACCTCGGTCGCCCCCAAGTCCAGCATGACGGCCTTTGAGAGAAACAGATCTTCCCTTGGAAGGCCACCCCCGTGGCTTGTGGCTGCCAGTGTGGGCCGAGGCCTGTACCCGCTCCGGGAGAGCCCGCTGTGCCCTTACTGGGGTCTGACGTCTAAGAACCGGGGTAACCTGTTACAAGGGCTGGCAGTAGTGTTGGCCCTCCTGAGATGTAGTAAGTGACAGAAAGGTCCTCAGCATCCATTCATAGGTTTCCATACATCTCAGCAATGGGTTAATGGAAGAAGCTTGTCCTCGGCGGCTGAGACCTGGACGGTGCCTTGCCTTGGATTTGGTGCCCCGTCCAGTAGCACTTCCTGTGAAGTGACCCGTCAGTGTCCGTTCCCAAACCGCAGCAGCAGCCTGAGGATCTAGGCCAGACCTCAGCGTGCCGGCCGCTGCCGGGCTCAGCGTGGGCCTCTCTGTAGCAGAGCTCAGAGCTTTTGCTGATGGATGGGGAAGTGGTCACAGCCTCGTGCCCTGGCCCTGTGGCCGGAGCCTGGGAATCGTGTCACCGACGGAGCGGGCCCTGGGGCCCGGACGGGCTCATGACGGGGCAAGAGGAAGTGATGGCTGCCATGCCCTAGTGGCAGTGGCTTCTTCCTGTAGGGAGGCTTACAGCAAACGCCTGGGGAACCCCCCCCCCCCCGGGCAGAGCTTCCAGTAACATGGAGACAGCTGCCCCGGAGCCAGCCTGGGAAAGGCACGGACCTGGGGGCTCAATCGTGGGGCCTTCTGGATTCCTCCACTCATGCAGGAGAGCTGTTGGTGGATCTGGTCTGGGGTGGGGTGAGTTCTGGGGGACCTGAGTTGGTCTAGGGGAGCCAGGGCCCCCTGCCTGTGCCCTGGGTCCTGGTATTGACCCTCCTCCGTTCACTGAACCCACATCCTGGATCTTGGGAAAGCCTGGGCCGGTTGTGGTTGGAGCGGATTTCTCAAATGACATACTTGGGATACTTTCTTCCCAAACCTGTACCCCAGGGGCTTTTGATTGTGGGAGGGCAGCGGCTCAGGCTGCCGTGGCTTGTCCACGTGTTAGAGGCCGTGGCTGTGATGGGCAGATGCGCGTTTCTAACCGGTGCTGCCTATTCAGATCGGGCTGCAGCTGCCCTCAGCCTTGTGCCTGGCCCTGAGCAACCAGCGCTGCCAGTGCTTCTGTGCCCCTTCCTCCCGCAGAAAAGCCCAGGCCTGCAGCCCTGCTCCTGAGGCCACTGCCAGGCCCAGGCAGGAGCCCAGGAAGGGGACCGGACTTGTATCAGAACCTGACGCCGTCCCCTTAGTGCAGACAATAAAAACCAACAGCTTCCTGGTTTTGTTCAGAGAAGTTTTCCACTGTGACCCCAGAAATACTCCCTCCAGCAGCATTGTGACTGTGGAGCTCACGTCCTCCATCCCTGCTGTGAGTGAGTGAGGACTCAGTGTTTCTGGTGGCCTTGTTGCCATCTTGGCTGGGTGTTGATTGGCCTGCATGGCTGGAGCCAGCTCTGTGGAGACTTCTGCACCCAGCCCCTCGAGATGCCGGGGGTGGGGGCGGGCAGAGGACTGGGCTCCCATGCATGACATGGGCTGCTCAGTCTGCAGACAGACGCTGGCCTCAGGGAAAGCTGCAAGAGAGGTGAAGGAAGGCCCTGGAGCACCCCTGCCCAGCCTTTGTGGCAGGCAAAGCCTTGGACACTGCACAGAGTCCTGGGGCAGGTGTCTGGCCTCAGCGGGGTGGAGGAGCTGCCAGGGATACAGCTCTTCCCTCCCATCTCCCGGCTTCGCTCTCTGCAGAGGGTCCTGGGACTGAGTGGTCCCCCTGGGATGCGCAGGGACCAACTGTGTGGTGGACATTCATGTCTGGCATCCCCAGCTGACATTCTGTGCCCTTTCCCACACCAGTGAATGCATGTTCTAAACAATGTCCCACAGCGAATGAGGCTTTGTCATGTGGGTTTATTAATAAGCCGACTGGTGGATATTTAGGTGTTTTCCAGCCTTTCCTTACAAATGTTGCTGTGGCAAATATCTGTAAAACATCTTAGTCTTGGGGCGCCAGGGGCTCATGCCTGTAATCGTAGCTCCTGAGGAGGCTGAGATCTGAGGATTGTGATTTGAAGCTAGCTCCAGCAGGCAAGTTTGTGAGACTCTTACCTCCAACTAAGTACCAAAAAGTCAGAAGTGGAGCTGCGCTCAAGTGGTAGAGCGCTAGCCCTGAGTGAAGCAGTTCACGGACAGCGCCCAGGCCCTGGGTTTGAACCTCAGGACTGAAGTGTGTGTGCACACGCACACACCCACATACACGTCTTAATTGGCAGGTCTTGGGCAGAGTTGACTTCTCAGAATATGGGGTAGAACCCAGCCCCCCCCCCCCCCCCCGCCACGCCGGCAGGCCACGCATACTCCTGAGCAACAGCCCTGCAGTGCCTGACTTACACATGCATATTGGCACGTATAAGTCAGGGTGGACACAAAGTAGCATACTTGTCCAACGCCAGCTCTGTCTCGGAGCCTGGGTGTCCTCACTCCGCTGCGGCCTGTGCGCCTCCTCGGGAGCAGATGTTTGCCAGGCTGGTCTGAGGGCTGGGCCAGCCTGCTGTGTGGGCTGCTGCCGGAGGGACTCGCAACCGTTGCTCTCTGTTCTTCTTCCTCAGGAGCAAGAGCAGCTCTACCTGCGGTCAGCTGTGGTGTCCTCCGCTACCTTTGAGCAGCCGGGGCGGCAGGTGAAGCTGTGGGTGAAGATGGTGACGCCACTGATCAAGAACTTCTTCTGAGATCAGACAGGTGCCACCTCCTTGTCACCTCTCAGCACAGATCTGTGGGGCGGGGGCTGCCGACCCCAGTCCCACACTGACTCAAGGGAGCCCTGAGGGTTCTCTCCCCTCCCTTGGTTCGGTCCCTGTAGTCAGGGATGGCTACCATCAAAGCTTTTGCAGCCTGGTGTTAAGTTAGCCAGCAGATTCCCTCTCTTCAGGTGCAGACGCCGCCACTCAGGTCTAAGGTGGGCCTTCTTCCACTCCCCAGCCTCCTCCTGGGGCCAGGGAGGCTGGGTCCTGTGACCGAGGGGAGAGAGGCGGACGTCATCATTCCTGCCTCCATTCCATGCTCCCGGGCGCAGCAGGAGCAGCAGGTGGTCTAGCGTGGAACACGGCTTGGGCTTGATGCCCACGCCGGCTGCAGCTCAGGATAAGGTGGCTTCTGAGTTGGATCTTGGGCCGCTGGCTTGCCTTGCCCTCTCCCTGATGTTTGTTTCTGTGCTATGTAGTTAGGAGATGCGATGTCCCAGATGTAGATATGATGTTCTAGGTACAGGGGCAGCTGCTAGCAGGACTCCCCTCCCCCCGCCAGGCCTGGGCAGCCGATCCACAGGGCCCACAGCACAGCGGGACACGCTCCCGCTCTCAGCGCGGTGCCCAGGCCCTCCGCTGGCTGCCCTGGCGTGGGGCAGAGGCGCGATGAGAGTCTCGGGGCTGAGGCTAGTGCCGTGCTTCCCACCGGTCAGCACCGTCACAGTGTGTGCCTGTGACGCCTGCCACCGGCCTCTCCTCCCAACCTTGCTTTACAAAAAGGTATTCATCATGTAGTTTTCTTACTATGTCCATTACTTTAAAAGAAAGTCTTCTTACTGTAAAGGTGATGTGTTAGAGCAGTTACATGAGTCAGATAAAGTACATTTCTTTTTTTGGGGGGTGGGGGGTTGGTCATGGGGCTTGAACTCAGGGCCTGGCACTCTCCCTGAGCTCTTTTGCTCAAGGGTAGTACTCTATCAGTTTGAGCCACAGCGCCACTTCTGGTTTTCCGGTGGTTAATTGGAGAGAAGAGTCTCACAGACCTTCTTGTCTGAGTTGGTTTTGAACTGAAATCCTCAGAGCTCAGCTTCCTGAGTAGCTAGGATTACAAGCGTAAGCCACTGGTACCTAAGAGTACACTTCTTTTTGGACAGTGTTACCCCTTCACTCTTTCCCACTTTTTCCCTCCCTTCCCTCCCCACAAGTTGTATAGATTATTTTCAACACAGTACTATTGTCACATTTGCTCACCCTTTGTCCTTCCATTTCTGTGCCTTTCCTTATATTCCCAGAGACATATAAACAGAACTAAAAGGAAAGAAAACAAAAACAGCAAAAAAGAAAGCACCTCATTTCCGTTTTCTGGAGTTCCTTTCGATAACTATTCTTTTTGTATGATCAGATGCACATGGGCATCATTGTGCCTTTGGTCCCTCCGCTCAGAGTGCCCTCCGGTATCTCCGTTGCTTCTTAACAAATGCAGCGTGGAGGACCGCCGAGGCTAGCATCCTCTCGCGTTTGTGTTTCCAAATGATGTGCGTGACTGTTTTCCTCCTCAGACAGACTTTCAAGAACAAAACAGTGCCAATACCAGGCCTGATAAAAAGATAGCATGAATTCCTTAGGATTGTCAGGCAGGACAGATGATGATTATAATTGTTGCTGTTTGTCTGCCTGTCTGTATTAGCATATATTAGCTGCACAAAGTGCGTTCCATTGAGACATTTCCACGCCTCCGGTGTACCTGGGTCAGACTCTCGCCCTCTTCCCCTTCCTCACCTCTTCTTTTTTTTTTTTCCAAATTTAAATATTTTTTTTTTATTGTAAAGATACTATACAGAGGGTTACAGTTACATGAGTGAGGTAATGAGTACACTTCCTCTTGAACATTGTTAGCCCCTCCATTGTTTTCCCCCTACCATCCCCTCCCTCCCTCCCTTCCCCGAAGTTCTTTTTTTTTTTTTTTGATTGTGATTAAGTGATTACATAGTTTCTAAGTCACAAGTTCATTCTAACTTTCCTGGAACAAATTGTCCATCACAGTCTGTAATATATAACAGTGTTCACATGTTATACACCATACATGTGATCAGCAGCGTCCTCACCTCTTCTTAAAACCACATTTCAACAGACTTCATTATTTTATTGACAACATGCATATTCAGTCTCTCTGTTGGCCTTTCCTTCTGACACTGGCTCCCCAGCATAGCCTGTTTTACATCAGAGTCTGTGACATTTTTAAGGTTTTTTTTTTTTTTTTTGGTCGGTCATAGGGCCTGAACTCTGGGTCTGGGTCTGGGCGCTGTCCCTCAGCTCTTCAGCTCAAGGCTAGCGCTCTACTACTTGCGCCACAGCGCCACTTCTGGTTTTCAGGTGGTTTATTGGAGATAAGAGTCTCACAGATGTTCCTGCCCCAGCTGGCTTTGAACTGTGATCCTCAACTCTCAGCCTCCTGAATAGCTAGGATGACAGGCTGAGCCACTGGCGCCCAGTTTTATTTGTTTTGTTTTGTTTTTTTTTTTTTTTTGGGTCCGGTCGTGGGGCCTCAACTCTGGGCCTGGGCGCTGTCCCTCAGCTCTTCAGCTCAAGGCTAGCGCTCTACCACTTGAGCCACAGCGCCACTTCCGGCTTTTTTTTTTTTGCTTATGTGGTGCTGAGGAATCGAACCCAGGGCCTCATGCATGCAAGGCAAGCACTCTACCACTGAGCCACCTTCCCAGCCCCAGTTTTACTTGTTTTTAATTTCAGTTTTGTAGATCTGTTTGATACAAGGTCAGATGACTTAGCCAGCCTGGCTACCTGGACTTTAGGACCTGCGTATTGATGGTTGCCTGTGCTCTGGTCTCGCCAGAACCAGTTTTGAGCCCTTGCCACAGTCTCCGCCCCGCGGTGCTGAGGAAGGTGTCTGCAGGGAGGAGAGCCCCTGGGACTTATGTCCATGGCGTGACCTCTAGAGGAGCCGCGCTGGAGTCGTCTGGCTTTTGCCTCTGGAAGGATCTGTTTTGGTGTGTTCCCCATGGTCAGGCCGCAGGGACGAAGGGCCGGCTGTGGCTAGCCTTGTCCTTGTGGCTGTGTGTACCGGGCTCTGTGCGGGAGCCCCGTTTCTGCAGGCTTTTGTGGTTGTGAACAGAGGAGGTGATGGCGGAGCCCCGCAGTGATTGCCTTTGGGCTGGTCATTAAATTGTCCAGGGGGCAGCGTGAGCAACCTGGTCGCCTCAGGTCCCGACTTTGGTTTGGAGAAACCGTCATCTTTTTTTTTTTTTTGCCGGTCCTGGAGCTTGAACTCAGGGCCTTGGCACTATCCTTAAGCCTGTCTGTGCTCAAAGCTAGCACTCTACCACTTGAGCCATAGCGCCATCTCTGGCTTTTTCTGAGTATGTGGTGCTGAGGAATGGAACCCAAGGCTTCATGCATGCTAGGCGACCGCTCTACCACGGAGCACCTTCCCAGCCCTGGAGAGACTGTATCCAGTGCCTGGCTTTGGCCAGCCTGCATGCTGTTCCCCTTTGTCCTGACTCCCAGTGCCCCCTGCCGTGTCCTGTTGCCCCTCCCCCCACCTGTCCTTAGACCAAGTCCCCCTGTGTCGGTGTGGCTGCCCCCACCTCTGCCTTCCGTGTCACTCCTCCCTTGAGGAGCTTGGAGATCACTTTGCCAACCACCCACGGTACATTCAGGCAGAGTAAATGACTACCTTATTTCAGGATCTAAAGGCAGAAGTGGAAGCAGGTCTCATTTTGGAAGTGAGCTGCCTGGTGGCTGCACAGCCAGTGGCGGCCTGAACCCGAGGCTGAGCCTGGCGAGAGGGGCTGCCCTGACCCCTCCTGGCCGGCAGAGGCATTGCCCAGCAGCCAGGCTGGGAGGCTGGGACTGTGCCCTTGCATGCTGTGTGCCAAGGGGCACCTTTTCCCTCTAGACAGCCCTGTCAACCCAGGGTGGTTCCTGGACATTAATTACGCTCTGGGACCTCTGCTCCACTGTGGTGTTGGGTACTGGGTGTGTATACCGGGGAGAAAGTTTTCTCCAAACATTGGGATCATGCTATTCCTACAGCTCAGTGCGTGCTGCCCGGGCTGCCCCTGCGGTGACCTGGCTGTGTGGCAGTGGGCCTGGGCTCCATCTCCAGCTGAAGTGGCTCTTGCTGCAGGCAGACGCTCCTGCCAGGCAGGGTCTGGCGGGCTGCCATGCAGCTGGAGCACCAGGTCATCTCTGTCTGTGGATGACCTTTTTACAGGGCACCGATGTTTTCCTGAGCACCTTTATGATGAGTTGTAGAGAGACAGAGATAGTGCGAGTGTATGGCTTGAACTCAGGGCCTCCCACACTTGTTTGACTTGCTTGTTCATGGCTAGTGCTCTGTCACTTGAGCCAAGCTCTAGCCTTGCTTTTGGCTAGTTATTGTGGAGATGGAGCGTTTTTGCTGCCTGGGCTGGCTTCATACCTGTGGCTTGTGGCCTTTCAAGTAGCTAGGATTATAGGTGGTGTATAGATGCTTGAAAGTCAGAGAAACCAGAACTGGACTTCCTCACGCCGGGGCTGTGCCAGGCCACAGAATTGGGAGAAAACGGCTCCTGAGCAGTGGGACAGTTCCCAGGGCGCCTGCCAACCCAACCAGAGGCTTAGGCAGGAGAGCCGGAGGTGAGAGGCTTCCCACGCAGCCCCTCCCCCAGGTCCCGTGCGCTGGCTTCAGCAGGTGGTCAGCCTGTGCACACGGCACCTGTGTGCAACCGGAGTTCTGGCTCAGCGGAGGTTGGAGAGGCAGGTGTGAGCATCGTGCCCCGAGGCCCTCTGGTCCTCAGGAGAGGAATGCTGGGGCCTGGATGCCCAGCACACTTCCTGCTTGGTGCAGAGTACGCAGGCTCCCGGTGGCCAGTGCAGCGTGAAGCCATGCTAACTAACCCTCAAAGGCTGCTTGTGTTGAAGATAGAGCTGCCCTGCCCTGGCCCTAGGGTGCCTCCCCCCTCCCCCCGTCATGTCAAACCCTGGGCATCTGTGGGCACTGAACAGAATCAGGTAGACATGGATAAGTGACCTCGGATCTTTTATCCACACCAGCCCCCCACCTTGTGTTCTTGGTGACAAAGAACCTTGATTATTTATATAAGAGACAATACAGTTCTCAGTTCCTGTAAAATAAATAAGAGTTGCAAAGCTGGGCTTTGATGGCTGAGTTTGTTGGCTGGGCTGCGGTCAGGCGCGGCCTGGTCCCCGAAACCAGCCGCCGCTACACCTGCAGCAGCAATGCCACCGCCGCCAGCACCCACTTGGCCGCCTTCTCTTTAGTCTTCAAGTTGAAGGTCCAGACGTAGGTCGGGCCCCGGATGCGCGTCTTGTACACGGGGCACTCGTAAATGTTCTTGGTCTCCATGCGGTCCACAGGAATGGCCTTGATGAAGATGACGGGCATGGTTGGCGTCAGCTCCTTCAGCCGCGACTCAGCGATGACTCCGATCTGGGTGTCCCAGCGAGCTCCTGAGGGGAAGCGGGGCTGAGGGTCAGGGAGGCCCTGGCCGGGGGAGCCCGTCAGTGTGGGGTGCTGACAGGGAAGGAGGGGGTGCCCGCAGGGCAAGGCCCGGCCCCCCCACTTTGCCGGAAGATGGTGGTGTCCGGAGCTCAGGCCTGGGCCGGGGTGGACGCTGCTGGGCCTGGAGGTGTGAGCAGAGGCCTGGCAGGTGACCGCGTGCATGTGCAGCTGCCCCCGACCCCGACCCCGCTGTGCCCTGAGCCCCATGCACTGTGGCCTTGGCTTCCTTCTCTTTAAATCGTGGTGTTTTTAGAGCCTCATCTGCGCCTTCCTGATTTCAGTGCCAGGAAGTCAGAACTCCTGCTGAAAACGATAAAGTCTCCTGCCTCTAACTGTATAATGTCTGTCCCCTATGTACATAGAGTATAAATACCTATGCCTAATATAAATATTATTTGCCTCTGACCAGACTGCTATCATTTCTACTTGCCCTATTGAGTGGTGTTTATATTTCCTGTCTGGAATTCCAAATAAACAGTGGAGAATGGCCGTTGCTCATCTGTGGTGATTTGGGAGGTGGCAGGGGATGATGGTGGCTGTGGTGGGCGGCTGTGGTCTGAGGGCACGGCCCCGCTCTCGGCAGCAGCACAGGGGATGCCCCCACCCGTCTTCCTTCCTGTTCTCGGAGCTGGCCTCCCTCGACGGGCTGAGAACAGGTGGCCCCGTCCCGGAGCTGAGCTCTCTGCCATCTGTGTGGGCTCCTGTCCTTACACAGGCGTGGCCGTTGGGGTCGAGTGAGGCAAGTCTGCAGCCCCCGCCAGCGGGCGCCCCCGCCCCTGCGTCCACGGCAGAGCGGCCCTGCGGCCCTCACCTTCCATGAAGAGGCCGTACACGTAGGCGCCTTCCCGCGGCGGTGCGGTCATGTCCTCTTTGCTTTTCTTGGTCACCTCCACAGACAAACACATCTTGTCCAGCGGCCACTCGTTCTTCCTGGCCATGGACTGCATGATGGCCGTGAGGAACGACTGCGGGTTGAAGAAGCCAGCCAGCCACACGGTCGTGGGCAAGGCGAAGTCTGTGGTCCAGGCCTCGAGCTCCTGAGAGAACACAAGCAGCCCCGAGGGCAGCGGGCTGGGGGACTGGTCCAGGGCCTCGGCACAGAGGGCTTCGCCTAGCTTTCGGGGAGCCTGGCTTCTCCCCCGACGACCCTGCTCTTGGGCCTTGAGGGTAATGTGCGGGTCCCAAAGAGGTCCTGCCATTGGCACCTCTGCGTATGGGTGGCAGCTGTGCCTGGCGGGGCTTGCTGAGTGCCGCAAGCCGGCTCCCTGCAGGGTCGGGCCGGGCCGGGCCCGGCTCTCTCCCCCGAGCCTCGGTGCCCTGGGAGGACATGCTCACCCTGATGCGGAGCAGCAGGTCGGCGTACCAGGCTGCCAGGCCCATCATGGAGGGGTAGGCCCGGGCCACCCACGTGTCGGGCACCGTGTCGTAGAACAGAGCTGTGGACAGGTCTTCCATGTCTGTCGTGATGGTCAGTTCCCCCTAAAGAACGCAGCCCAGATTGGGAGGATGGGAGGCCCCATGCGAGTGCCCCCTCCCCCACCCCCCCAGCATCCTGAGTCGTCAGCACCGCGTGGCTCTGGGGACGCCTCCTGTGGGGACCAGCCAGGGAACAGTCTAGATAACCTCCTTGGGCCTTGAGTGGCCGGGGAGGAAGGGGACCGGCCATGACACACTCGTCCCCAGGGGCCGAGGCTGGGAGGGAGGCCGGGGGTTCCCGCAGGCTGGCCAGTTCCTCAGGTCTGTCCCTGGGGTCCCAGATGGTCCCTAGGGTCCCGGATGGTGCCTGGGGTCCCGGATGGTGCCTGGGGTCCCCGATGGTCTCTGGGGTCCCGGATGGTCCCTGGGGTCCCCGATGGTCCCTGGGGTCCCGGATGGTGCCTGGGGTCCCCGATGGTCTCTGGGGTCCCGGATGGTCCCTGGGGTCCCCGATGGCCCGCGTTTATTTTTACCTTCAGCCCCAGGTTCAGCTCCTTCAGCGAGCGCCGCATCTCGTTGGTGAGAATGTTCATTCTCTCACATTCTTGAAAGGCAACAACCACATAGGGCGTCTTCTCAGCAGCCTTGGCCATGATCTCCGCCATGTTGAATGTCTCTGGAATCTTCTCCAGAATGTCATCTAGCACGGCCTTCACCTGGAAGTCAGTCCCCGCAGGGCTGTGTCACTATCCGCTAGGCTGCGAAGCCTCCTGGCAGCGCCGGGCAGGGAGCTGGCCCAGGCATCTCAGCTTGGACCCCCGAGGAGAGGGAAGAGGGGGGAGCAGAGGTGCCAGGAACACGCAGTCACGAAGTGTGGCCAATGTGACAGATGCCAGCAGGCTCTGGGTTCTGGCCCCTGGCCAGGCTCCGTGTTGGGGCTGGGGCTACATCAGGCCACCCTGGTACCAGGCCTAGTAGCATTGAGGGTCTCTCCATCCTAGGGTTGGTCCCCTGTGAAGCCCACGTCTTAGCTGATGGCAGAACTTTCACAGGCTGAGCAGAAGAGCTGCGGCCTCACGGGGTCCCTCGGCCTCCAGCGCTCTTGCACACCACACCTTTCACTGCTCAGTGCTCTTAGCTGGGCCTTCCCTGGGAAGTCCCCCCTCAGCTCATCTGCTGCCCCCACGGCCTCCAGATGCTGACTGTGCTCCCGCCCAGGCTGTACCCAATTGCAGACCCTGGGAACAAGTACCCAGGGGCACCAGTCAGAGCTGCATTTTGACCCCTGCGGGGACACCCCCTCCTGCCCCTGCCCCTGCCCCCAGCCCCCACTCCCCGCCCCTGCCCTGCCCCTGCCCCCCGCCCCCGCCCCTGCCCTGCCCTGCCCCCTGCCCTGCCCTGTCCTGCCCCTGCCCCTGCCCCTGCCCCTGCCCCCGCCCCTGTGGGTGGAGGGAACCTGCCTTTTCCTCCCGGGACACTCCAGTGCCAGCTCCTGAGTCCGACTCTTTGGGCTGCATTTCCAGCACCGTGCGGAACAGCTTCTCTGAGGTGACTGTCAGAAAGCCAATCTCTGCGTTGGGGTGCAGACCGTAGAGATAGGGGCTCTCGGGGGGCAGGTTCTCGTCGACGTACTCGTGGTAACCCTGCGAGAGGGGGCTGTAAGACTACCAGAGCACATCTGTGAGCTCCACGTCCCCTGCTGGCATGCCTCCCTCCCCTCGCTCTCCCCAGCCTCCCTCCCCGAGCCTCCTCACGCTGCCCCTCTGCGCCCACCGCCTGCCTTTCCTCTCCTTCCTTCTCCTAACCCCTTCTCGCCCAGTTGCTCATTTCCATTTGTGATGGGAGGCCCGTGGGTGGCGTTGGCCTGGGGATCAGGGCTGTTGCCCCCCCCCGTACCTTGTAGTCCAGGTTTGGGGGTGTCTGGAAGCCAGGGGCCAGCATCACGTCACCCTCCAGCATCTCAGGCCGCAGATACTCCATCAGGTAGGTCCTGCACAGCCGGCGGTCCCAGTCATCCGTGATGTGGCCGCCGTACATTATTTCACCGAAAAGGTAGCGGAGATCGTCCCAGGGTACCTGGGGGAGGTGGCAGCGGTTGGAAGGTGCCCTTGCCCCTTCCTGCCGTCCAAGAGGCCCAGGCTTTGAGGGCATGGCCGCCGGCAGCCTCCCATGACAGCGGAGACACGTGCTCTCCCCGCCTGCGGCTGGCTCTCCTTCCTGGCCTCGTGCCAGGCTCCTGCGCTGGCTCCGGCCAGCCCCTTCCCGTTCCCCATGCTCGCCTGCCCTCTCGCCTGGCATCTGCAGCGCTCAGGGCTGGCGCTGGCTTGCTGCATCCCCCCCCCCCCATAGGGTCTTCCTCTGAGCCCACTGAGCGACCCTGGGCCATTCCCGCAACTGTCACCCATGGGGGCCTCAAGTCTCTGATGGCAGAGAGCTTGGAGCAAGCAGCTCGTCCCCCCAAAACCTTGGCTTCCTGGGGCCTCAGGAGCAGATACCACAGTCAGTGCTGCCTGGGGTGGGCAGCTGGGTGAGCCGTCCAGCCCTGCTGCCGGCTGGCCTCTTTCCACCCATGTCCCCCGCTTCACCCTTCCCAGTGTTCCGGCCCTTGCTTGCCCTGGAGTGCTCACTTTGGGCACCTGTGGCGAAGAGCCTGGCTCTGGAGCACCCTCCTCCACCCTCATCCGACTCAGAGTGGTCAGTCCTGCAGCCCCAGGGAGCTGCCACGGGAGCCACGCCGGTCATTTTACATTTCTTGGCAGCTACTTGCAGAAAGGGAAAACCAGGCACTCTTGGTGGCTCAGGCCTGTCATCCTAGCTACTCAGGAGGCTGCGATCTGAGGATCCAGGTTCAAAGCTAAGCTGGGCAGAAAAGGATAATAAAAACCAAGCAGCCTCTGTGTGTGTGTGTGTGTGTGTGTGTGTGTGTGTGTGTGTGTGTGTGGTGTGTGTGTGTGTGTGTATGTGTTTGTGTGTGTGTGTGTGTGTGTGTGTAGAAAGAGAGAGTGAGTTGTGGGCCTGCACTGTGGGCCTGGATGCTGTCCCTCAGCTCTTCAGCTCCATGTGAGCGCTCTACCACTTGAGCCACAGCTCCACGTCCAGCGTTTTCTGCTTATGTGGTGCCGAGGAGTCAAACCCAGGGACTTGAATGCGAGGCGAGCACTCCACCACTAAGCCACCTTCCCAGCCCCCCCAACCCTTCTTTTTAAGGAGACTTTTGAGGGCCTCCTTTCCCCAAACCGGATATTGACAAGGCCTGTGGCACCCAAAGCCCAGCGTCTCCGGGGCTTCCGGGGCTCTGGGTCACACTGGGTGGCTGTGGAGTTGACCCGGAGTTGACCGGAGGCAGGCGCTCCAGCAGCCCCATCAGACGGCGGAGGCCGGGCCGGGCTGGGCAGCCGCTTTTAGGTGAGGCTGCGGGTGCCGCGGTGCTGACATGTCCTTTGGCTTATGGACCCCGTGTGGAGGCCCGGCGTGGCCAGGTGGGTTGGGATGCGTCTCACCTTGGGGTTGGCCTCCAGGTAATTGTAGAGCACGTTGATGGAGATGGTGAGGTCCCCGTTGTTGAAGGGGTACGACCGGTTCCAGCCCTGGGCGCCAAACTTGCGCCTCTCGGCCACCACGGCGTGAAAGTAGCACAGGGCGAAGAGGATGCACTTGAACTCGATCTCCTTCGTGCACATCTCCAGGGTGTCCTGGGGAGGAGCGGAAGACGTCACGCCAGAGCCTGGTCCCGGCCCGGTGCTCCGGGGTACACGCAGGTTTGGGGGGCGGGAAGCGCCAGTGACCCTAAGTGACCCTCTCCACCTGATCTGGTCCCTCCTCAGATGAGTGCAGGGAACATCAGTGTGTGTGTATGCACACACGTGTGTGTGTATGCATGGCTGTATTCTTTCCCTTTCCAAGATGTAGTTTTGTCACAAGTGAGAGAAACACCACTATTTTTTTTTTGTCAGTCATAGTCTTGAACCTTCTGGGCCTGGGCGCTGTCCCTCAGCTCTTCAACTCAAAGCAAGCACTCTACCACTTGAGCCACACACAGCACCACTTCTGGTTTTCTGAGTAGTTTATTGGAGTCTCATAGACTTTCCTGCCTGGGCTGGCTTTGGACCCCGATCTTCAGATCTCAGCCTCTTGAGTAGCTAGGATGACAGGCGTGAGCCACCGGCACTCAGCAGTGATACTACTTTCTATAAAATACATTCTGTGCTTCAGAATATTCTGGCTGATGGACCACATAGGAGCCTGTGAGGTTATAACGGAACTGGACTGGATGAACGGCTTGACAATGACCATCTGAGAGCAGTGTGGTTCGAAGCCAGCCCAGGCAAGAAAGTTTGTTTATGTGACTCATCTCTCCAGCTAACCACCAGAAAGCCAGAGTGGAGATGTGGCTCAAGTGACAGAACGCCAGCTTTGAGCCCTGAGTTCAAGCCCCAGGACCAGCACAAACACAGCAGCAATTTGTGTCTACTGTGCAAAGTCCCAGGCCGCCTCTGTGTGCTTTTCCTTCATCCTGGCACCCTGCCTGCCTACCTGGGTGAAGAGGTCCAGGGCCTTGTGCAGGTTGGCGTACATGCCAGTGGGTGGCTCGTTGGTGATCTTGATGGCGTTTTCCAGAATGCCCTGGGGGATGATGTGAGCCTCGGGGGAGGGGGCGGGCTCGGCGCTGATGAACACACGGTAGTCTTCGTGGCTGCCTATGCTGTAGCGCTCCACCTTCTTGTCCAGCGTGCTCAGCCACCGGGCCACCAGGTGGATGTTCTTCAGGGAGGAGGACCGGGGTTAGGTGCCCTGACCAGGGCTCGCCTCGGGGGCTTCTCCAAAGTCTGCAGGGTGAGTCCTGTGCATTCTTTCCCACCATGTTGGATGTGAAGCTTTGTGTCCTTCAGTCTACCCAAGCGTGGACCCCGGTGTCCTCCCCCACCAGCTGCCCCTGCCCTGGCCCTGGTCCCGGTGCCGTTGAGCGTGGAGAGCCCTCTCTTCAGGGGCCCGTGGGACAGTGTTAGTGCCAGTCCCACGTCCTGCTTGCGTCCAGGCTTCGGGCTGTCCCCGGGGCCCCTGCCAGGGGGCCTCACCTGCAGAATGACCCAGTGCCCGTTCTCCGCAGCCACGTCCAGGGCGTTCTCGGCCACCACCTCCTGTCCCTGCCCCAGAGACACATTGTGGAGCTTCCCGTTGTCTATGGTGAAGCCCAGTTTCTTCCCTAAAGAAAGGAACACAGGAAGAGCGTGGGGTGGGCAATTCGGTGAGAGGTGCAGTCCCCGCAAAGACGCCTTGTTTGTTTGTTTTTGTTTTTTGTCCAGGGACTTGAACTCTGAGCCTGGGCACTGTCCCTCAGCTCTTCAGCTCAAGGCGCTACTTCTGGTTTTCTGGTAGTTAATTGGAGATGAGAGTCACAGACTTTTCTGCCCGGGCTGGCTTTGAACCGTGACCCTCAGATCTCAGCCTCCTGAGTAGCTAGGATGACAGGCGTGAGCCACCAGCTTCTTGCCTTGTTTATCTGGGAAAATCCATGTTACATCAGGGTTGCCGTTTAAAGGATCGCGCGTGGCCAGCTCAGCGACATTTGGGACGCTTGTCACATTGTGCGATGGCTGCGCTTTACCCGCCCCCCCCCAGGATTCTCGTGCCCACGTGTCGCCCCTCCCCCAGCAGCTGGCCACCGGCCACCTGGCAGAGCAGTGTTCTACAGCATGGCTGCACCACATCGGGTCTGTCCGCTCACCAGCTCCTTTTCTTCCTCTGTGGTTTTTGTGAGTGGGGGAGTGTGTGTGTGTGTGTGTGTGTGTGTGTGTGTGTGTCCGTCCGTCCGTCTGTCCGTCCGTCCTGGAGTGGATGTGCTGGGCTGTGTGGTGGTTCTGTGCTCGGTGGAGGGAGGGCTCACCCAGCTCTTTCCCCAGCAGCTGTGTCGCTCACCCACACTGGTCTTTCTGTTTTGGACGCGGTGGGCCTAACGCGCGTGCGTGGCCCCTCCCTGCAGCTCTTCCCCCCCCCCCCCCCGCCCCGTGTGTTGACCCGGGGCAGCAGGACTTACCCAGGGCCTCCACGTCTTTCAGGGGGTCCACCCCTGGGGAGAGGATGAAGAAGATGGGCGTGGAGGGGCTGCTCTCCTCATAGGACTTGGAAAACTCCACGCTCCGGCCTTCCACAAACTTACTGCCCATCTTTTCCTCCACAAAGTTCCTGGGGGGGGGGGGAGGTAGGGGATGGGGCTGGGTGAGGCCCTGGGGCAGAGGAAGCTGCCCTGGACCAGTGTAAGGGGTGAGGGGCAGCCTGGGCCGCCTCTGGGAGGAAGCAATGGCTTCTGGGGGGCAGGGTCTGCATGTGTCCATCCTGGGCCTAGTGCCCAATGCCACGGCACCCCCCCCCCCAGGCCTCGGGAGGCACGGAGGGGCCTGGCCCAGTGAACGATCGCTGGCCCTGGCTTGACAGGTACATAGGTCACGGGGGACAGGTACATGAAGAGGAAGCAGCATTTCTGGAGGCTACACACAGCAGCTGGATGACTGAGGAAAGGCAGCATTAGAACACAGACACCTTCTTCTGTACCTGTGGGTTCCAGGACCTTAGCTTTTCAGCTCGACCCCACAGGTCCCAGGAGGCCTCCGGGGACCCCTCTGGGGGAAACTTGGGGTGGAGGGCACCATCTTTAGCTTTCAGATATCTGCCCACTGGGAGGCGAGTTTCTCAGTGGCTCTCCTGCGCTGGATTGGTCAGACTAGAAATGTCAGGCACAGGTGTGCGGGTCTCTGCTGGGAACTTGATCTCCAGCCAGCCGCCGCCCCTTCCCTTCCCTCTGCTCCCCACTTGCCGGCATTTTCGGGGTCCTGACTCTGCCCCGGTGTCTGCTGGACCGGGCAGTTTCCTGGGCTGGTGTTAGGGGCAATTTGTGTGTATGTGTGGGGGGGGCTGCTCGTTCTGAACACCTGGGTTTAATTCAGTCCTTTGCAATGGACTTAGAACACAGATGTCATGACCTGGCTGAGGAAGGGCTGCGCCAGGGCAGAGAGGAAACAAAATCACCTTGGCTGTGCCCAACGTCATTGTCCAAAGATGAGTTAGTGCTGCAGGGTGAGGAGGACGCTGAAGCCCTGCTCCTACTGCCCAGACCCTTGGGGCCGGCCTCCCCCAGGGCCGGCCTTCCCCAGGGCCAGCCTTCCTTCCCCCAGGGCCAGCCTCCCCCAGGGCTCCGGCAGGCTGCCTGGCTTTGTCCTGCAGGCGTGCAGAGCAGGACCATGCCCCACTCTGCGCTCTGCTTCCTCCTCACCACTCCTGGTCTGACAATCACCAGCGAGGGGGGTCAGAGCCCGCGCTGCACTGGGGCATTCTTCTGATGTCTTTTTGGGACATCTGGCTGCGCCCAGGCCCCCGGGAGAGGCGAGAAGGGCAGAAGGCACTCAGCCACAGAAACCGTGAGAACGGCTTCCCGGCGCCTCCTTCCTTTTCTTCTGTGCCCAGACTGGGGCTTGAACTCAGGGCCTCATGTTTTTGCTCAAGGCTGGTGCTCTGCTCTCCACTTCTGGCTTTTTGCTGGTTCACTAGGGATTAGGGTCCCTTGGATCTGCCCAGGTTGGCTTTGAACCACAGCCCTTGGAGCTCAGTGTCTTGCATGGCTAAGGTTACAGGTGTGCACCCCTGGGACCTGGCATGGGTCCCTTCTGCGTTGTACCCCACACCCTGTTCTAACACAGCAGGGTCAGAGCAAAATGCCAACTCGCTGGAACCGGCCTCCACTAGCGTGAACCGCTGAGGAGTTGAGAATCAACCGGTGGACCATTTTTCCCCAAACACCCTAAGAAGGACCCCATTTGGCTGTGGAGGGCATTCGCCTGGCTTTCAACATCTGAGTCTGGCATGGAGAGCTCCCCCAGCCCCTGCGACATGCCACAGTGTGTCCCTTCTCCCAGACCAGTGGAAAGAGGGGTCCTGCTGACCACATGGGAGACACGGAGAGTTAGCCAGAACCGGCTCCCCAGGAGCTCTGTGGTGAAGGCCTCGATTCTGAACCAGGGTGGTGACACCCCCTCCCCCCCACTCCATGCCCACTCACTTGACGGCGTAGGTCATGCGGTCCGGCCGCATGCAGCGCACCATGCACAGCTTCTGCAGGGCCGTCTTGTTTTTCCACTCCTTGGGGAAGATCTCCTTCTCGGGGGCCTCCGACTCCACCAGCTTCTTCCACCGCTTGGCGGACCCTTCGATGTCGTTGTCCAGGTTTTTGAACTCGTCCATCTCTGACAGGGCCTGGGGCAGGCGCGGAGGTCCGGCTGACCCTCCCCGGGTCAGCGGCCACCCTCCCCGACCTCCTCGTCCTCCTGGTCCTTGAGAGGCCACGGCGGCGGGGGCTGCACTGTCCTTCCTGTCCCGCCTCCAGGGGACAGGAGCCCAGTGGGGGGACGGGGGGCCCCTCCAGGAGCAAGGCTGCCTCACAGAGGGCCGGAGGACGGGAGGGGACCTGAGGGCCTGAGTCTGAGGTGGCTGTGCACTGTGCCCTTCCAGCCTGAAGAAAGGATGGGGGTCTGGGGGAGGCTGGGGGAGGCTGGGGGGCTCCCACCCTCGATGGCCGGGGGCTGGGAGGGCAGCGGGAGCCTAGCAGTGTCACCCTCGAAGAGGACAGGAGGGCAGAGCCTTCTGGAAGCCAGCAGCTGCTTCTGCTCCACTCACTCTGTCCTGTTTAATCTATCACCCCTGCTTCGGTGTGTGTGAGGGGGACTTGAACTCTTCCTTAACATTCTCCTTCCTCCCGCCCCCCCCGCCCCCCCTCCGCCCACCCCATCCTGGACTGGTTTGACCCGTGGTCCCCAGATCTCAGCCTCCGGAGGAGCTGGGATTGCAGGCGTGGGCACCGGGGCCCGGTCTCGGTGGAGACCCCGTGGGGTTCGGGGTGCCTAGGGCTGTGTGTGGAAGCTGACCTTGATCCCCCCCCCAGCTCTGCTGCTGCAGGAGGAGCTGGGATTGCAGGCGTGGGCAGCGGGGCCCGGTCTCGGTGGAGACCCCGTGGGGTTCGGGGTGCCTAGGGCTGTGTGTGGGAGCTGACCTTGATCCCTCCCCAGCTCTGCTGCTGCAGGAAGTCCACCGGAGAGACCACCCCCGCCTTGAAGGGGAAGCGGAGCAGGAAGTCCAGCTCCACCGGGTTCAGCTCCTTCTTCATGGATAGGACCTGGGGAGGGAGGGTGCACACTCGCTGCCGGCCTGCCGTCGGGTGGATGGAAGGGTCTAGAAGGGTCATCAGCCCTTCAGATGAGTGCTTTCTGGTCCTCAGGTTTGGTCGAGAGAGAGGGGCTCACACCATACTGCCCCTAAGAGAGAGGGGCTCACACCATACTGCCCCTAAGATAGAGGGTTCACACCGTCCTGCCCCTGAGAGAGAGGGCTCACACCGTCCTGCCCCTGAGAGAAAGGGCTCACACCGTCCTGCCCCTAAGAGGGAGGGGCTCACACCAACCTGCACCTGAGAGAGAGGGCTGACACTGCCCTGCTCCTAAGATAGAGGGTTCACACCATCCTGCCCCTAAGATAGAGGGTTCACACCGTCCTGCCCCTGAGAGAGAAGACTCACACCGTCCTGCCCCTAAGAGAGAAGACTCACACCGTCCTGCCCCTAAGAGAGAAGACTCACACCGTCCTGCCCCTAAGAGAGAGGGGCTCACACTGTCCTGCCCCTAAGAGAGAGGGACTCACACCATCCTGCCCCTGAGAGAGAGGGCTCACACCGTCCTGCCCCTGAGAGGGTTCACACCGTCCTGCCCCTGAGAGAGAGGGCTCACACCGTCCTGTCCCTGAGAGTGCTCACACCGTCCTGCCCCTGAGAGTGCTCACACCGTCCTGCCCCTGAGAGAGAGGGGCTCACACCGTCCTGCCCCTAAGAGAGAGGGTTCACACTGTCCTGCCCCTGAGAGAGAGGGGCTCACACCATACTGCCCCTGAGAGAGAAGGTTCACACCGTCCTGCCCCTGAGAGAGAGGGCTCACACCGTCCTGCCCCTGAGAGAGAGGGCTCACACCATCCTGCCCCTAAGAGAGAGGGTTCACACCATCCTGCCCCTAAGAGAGAGGGTTCACACCATCCTGCCCCTAAGAGAGAGGGTTCACACTGTCCTGCCCCTGAGAGAGAGGGGCTCACACCATACTGCCCCTAAGAGAGAGGGTTCACACCATCCTGCCCCTAAGAGAGAGGGGCTCACACCGTCCTGCCCCTGAGAGGGTTCACACCATCCTGCCCCTAAGAGAGAGGGTTCACACCATACTGCCCCTAAGAGAGAGGGGCTCACACCATACTGCCCCTAAGAGAGAGGGTTCACACCGTCCTACCCCTAAGATAGAGGGTTCACACCGTCCTGCCCCTGAGAGGGTTCACACCGTCCTGCCCCTAAGAGAGAGGGTTCACACCATCCTGCCCCTAAGAGAGAGGGTTCACACTGTCTCTGCCCATGTGACCTGAGGCAAAACTTTATCATCACTTGTGTTTTCATTTCACTTATTTATTGCCAGTCCTGGGGCTTGAACTCAGGGCCTGGACTCTGTCCCTGAGCTTTTTTGCTCAAGGCTAGCACTCTACCACTTGAACTACAGCGCCACCTCTGGCTTTTTCTGTGTGCTGAGGAATCAAACCCAGGGCTTCATGCGTTGCTAGGCAGGTACTCTACCACTGAGCCACCTTCCCAGCCCATCACTTGTGTTTTTAGAATGGTGGTAAAGTGCTCCTAACCAAGCTCAGCATTTTAACCATGCTGAGCATGATCCAGGACCCAGTGCTGTGCTGCCACTGTGGTCTAGTCTACAGTGTCTCATCACCCCAAAAGGAAGCCGATCAGGGGCCCCCTGGCAGCCCGCAGCCTCCATTTCTCAGATTTGCTTCCAGATGTTTCTTCTAAGTGAAAATCCTAGGACATCAGCCCTTCCCACCTGCCTTCCTGCCTTTAGCTTGGTTTTCCCTGCAGTACTGGGATTTGAACTCAGGACCCTGTACTCACGAGGCAGATGCTCTACTTGTTGAACCACACATTGATAGCCCTATCTTGTATTGGTTATTTTCCTGGATATTTTTGCCTGGGTGTTACCTGGAAGGTCACTTGGGCCAGAAAGATGAGCTTGTCCCGCTCAAAGAGCCCCCGGGCGGTGTATATGAACACGGAGTAGGTGATCTCATCTGTCAGGTTGATGACACGCTGTTTCACCTCATCCGAGGGCGCTGTCTTCTGGATGGCTTTCTCGAACACCACGTTGAAGGCCTGCAGGGTGGAACCCCCAAGCTGGACCCTGGCTGCCCCTCTCTCCTGTGGGGGGTCACTAGGGAAGCGCAGGTGGAGGCCCCCCACTCCCGGCCTCTCAGGGTGCTGGCAGTGGATGACGGGCGCCCGCTCTCTGCTCTGCCCCCCCCCAGGCCCCCTGCTCTGCCCCGAAGCCCCTGTGTGAGCTGTGTGAGCCGGGCCCACGGCAGGCCCCGAGACCTTGAGGGAGAACTGGTAGATGGGGTTGATCTTGTTGAGGTCGTTGAGGATGAAGTACAGCAGGGAGGCGCGCTCTGCCGCCGGCCGGTAGTTCTCCCTCGCCTCGTTGATTTTAGCTTCTGTGATTTTCGCCTCTTGTACCTGAGAGCAAACCAATGGGTGAAAGTGGACAGAAAGGGGTCAGATTACAGGCTGAGGCCCCATCTGTCAGGAGGGACCCCCAGACGCCTGAGCAGTGGGGGTACACAGACCAGGTGTCCAGCACCTGGCGCAGCACCCATGTGACTGTACCTTGCTTCTTGCTACTCAGAGACAGTTCCCTGTGTCCTGCCACGTCTCCCTGTGCCCTGTCACGCCCCCTTCCAAGCCCTGCCACGCCCCCTTCCATGCCCCACCATGCCCCCTTCCA